TGGAAACTCTTTTTGACATAATCGAAAGTTCAAGCTTAATTTTTATAAAATTGTTCTAACAGTTTGCAAAAAATAATAAGCCGGATCCAAATAGAAGATTAATGAACAGCGCAGTCTGCAACATACATTTACTGAAGTACCTTAGATAATTTTAGCCTAGCTTATACCGTCTGTTATACATTCAACATGCATGCGTTGCATTTACGCATATGCATAAAGTTTATAGTTTTGAGGTCCGGATTACAGACTTTGTACTATATGGTCTTATTTTATAAAAAAAAAAAAATTAGAAAATGTAACATTGCATAAGTAAATGGTATGCTCTAACTGAGCTAGTACGAGGGCCATCCAGGAAGTAGATTACGTTTCCGTCTGTGTCCGCTAGGGGCGGGGCTAGCGCGGCCATCTTGGGGTCAGAGCGTTGCGCAGCTCAGTCTGCATCTAGCCGTGCTGTGCTCCGTTCAGATACTGTGACGGTTTGAAATGTCTACGTTAATTGAAAATTCTGCGAGGTGCGCTCAGTAATAAGGTTTCTGACTGCAAAAAACTGTAAACCGATAGAAATCTATCGGCAGCTTCGTGAAGTGTATGGGGACAACATTATCACTGAAGGTGGAGTGCGTCAGTGGGTCATAAGATTTCAAAATGGCCGAACCAATGTTCACGACGAAGATCGAAGTGGGAAACCCACCATAGTGACCGCCGAACTTCTCGAAAAAAGTCGATGCTAAAGTCCGTGAAAAATCGAAATTTCACAATAACGGAACTTTCTTTGAGTTTTCCACAAATTTCGCGAAGTTTGTTGCACGAAATCATCAGCGAAAAGCTTGGTTACCACAAGTTTTGTGCAAGATGGATTCCAAAAATCTTGACAGAGGACCACAAAAATCAGCGAATGGCTGCAGCGTTGAACTTTTTGGACGCTTACCATAAGGATGGTGACTCTTTACTCGATCGCATTGTTACTGGTGACGAAACATGGGTGAAACATGTGAACTGTGAAACGAAATTGTAATCAATGCGTTTTGATGACGACGCACAGCTGCAAGAAGAGGTAACGAAGTGGTTGAAGGCGCAGGCGGCCGAATTTTTCAACGAAGGAATTTCCAAGCTCGTACATCGCTACGATAAATGCCTTAATTTGTGTGGTGACTATGTAGAAAAGTAGTATTTGAGTGTGGCTTTCATCTGTATATAATAAAATTTGTTTCCTATACTTTGTTTATTTTTTTATTCCAAAGCGTAATCTACTTTCTGGATAGCCCTCGTATAATGTTACAAGGAAATGTAACCCAGCTGGAAAATAAGCTTAAAAGATGAAATATAAGGACCCGGCTGAAAAATTAGTTACACTTTTTAAATTATTATATTTTATGTTTTACATAATATATAAAAAGAACATGCTTCTTGCTGTGATACAAAGAACAACCCCCCCCCCTTGTGGATATTTTCCTTCCAAAGATATACAGTCAAAAGTCGTTAATTCGGACACCCATAATCCGGAATGATCTATAATCCGGACCTCAAAGCTAAAAACTTTCTGCACATGCGCACAGGCATTTTACGCGTGCGTGTAAGACCTTGACTACTGCGCATATGCGTGTGCGCAAGTGCAGAATACGTTTTCGCCTGCGCATTTAATGTATAACGGACGGTGTAAGCTAAAATTATCTGATTATCTATTTCAGTTAATGTTAATGATTGCGTTGTTCCTTAATCTTCGAATTGGATCCCGCTTATTGTTTTTTGCAGACTGTAAGAGCAATTTTATAAAAGTAAACTTGAACTTTCGATTATGTCAAATAGAATTTCCGATGCTGGAACTTCCAAAGGATTTACAAAACGAAAGTACGTTTCGATGTCCAACAAACAAAAAGTGGAATTGCTGCAAAAAATGGATAAAGACATGAAGAAGGTGACAGAGAGGTTAGTGAAAACGAAAAAATTTCAATTGACAAGTTAGTCGGTATTCTCGGCACAGCAATTAACGGAACTTGAACAGCGGAACTTTGTAACTGAACAAGAAATCATGTCTTTTTATAGAATTAAAGAGAAAGTATTATCACATAAAATGAAGCAACTTAAACAACTTACATTGAAAGAAATGTTTAATAAAGTAAACAAATAAATATTAAGCTTTTTTTTTTTTTTTTTTTTTTTTTTTTTTTTTTTTTTTTTTTTTTTTGTAAATTTTGATACCTTTTAGATCATAATTGTTCTTTATTTCATAAATTACGGTTTCATATTTTTAATTTTAGAATTTCTGCATGCCATCTTACGAGATTTAAACTGATGATCTATAATTCGGAAAAATTGATAATCCGGAATCACCGAAGTCCCGACGAGTCCGGATTAACGACTTTTGACTGTATTGTGTCTAAAGCTGGCTTAGAAATATTTTCCACCCTTTGACCAAGTGTAGACTTCGAAAACTGGCTGCTTGTATCCTTCCTTACCCAGGGGAAGAATTTCTCATGTGTTTTAGTCTGTCAAGTTAGTGTACTATGTCAAAAAGTGTTTTAGTACCTGAAATTAATAAAGATGATCCCCTAAAGCAGAGGTCTCCAAACTTTTCAGCCCGCTGGCCATATTGGCTCTCTTAGGAGAAGCTTCGAGTTAATTCATCATGCCAGGGTGATGCGGTTATGACGATCAGAATAGACACAGAGAGATTTTTGTGATTGGATGTATGTGCTTTGTTTTTTAGACTTTCATGCAGCTTCACCAAACATAAATTTCTTAAGGCCGTTTTTAAACATCATTTACAAAAATATATTTTTATTCTAGAATATTAGATTTTTTCCAGTTTAGTATGTACTTTACTTTTTAATGGATTCACCTTCACGTTGTCACAACATATTAACCCATTTTGTTTACATTTTGGTCAGGTGCAAAGTTTTGCTTAATTTTTTTACTTCCTTGTACGAAGTAAAGGAATTGTTGTAATCGCAAAACATTTCACATACCATATTTCAGTGAAAATATCCTTTTGAATGATTTTTTTTCCCTGCGTGACATCTGTATGTACAGACAATGCTGTGATTTTTCTCTTGAATTTTATGTTGCGCAAGAATAAAAAACTCTTTCCCCATACGGGTTGTAAAATGAAATTAAAATACATTTACACTCCAAAGAGATTTTTTTCATGACGTCTGTACATACGTACACATGTATGTATGTATCTTTCATTACTCAAAGCGAGCAGTTTGAAAACTTTAAAATTTTGTATATGGGGCTGCTGTAACGTGTAGTTGTGCACCGTTGGCTGTGTGAAAAGTGTATATATATAAATACTCACTCTGTTACTCGGCTCGCGAGCTCAGTTTATTATTATTATTATTATATGTTGGTAAATTGTGCATTTTTTGCTTTAAAAGTGACTGAATTGTTCTTATATTCCATTTAAGGTTTTTTTTATGACATTAGTAAATATGCATTCAATAGTTGTAGAATTATCAACAATAAGTTAATTTAAGCTTATTAAAGCCAACTCTTGTTTTGTTTGAAGATGTTTTGAGTTTTTATGTATTTATGACATGCGATGAACTGATAACTGAGCTAATTGAATGAGAAATATATGTTCGAGAAATAACGGTTAAATGAATTTCGGCAAAAAATGTGTGTAATTTAATAGGGTGTATTGAGGAAGTTGTGTCCATATGAGATCTTTTATATAGTGTGTTACTGTACTTCATACATTGTAAATTTAGAAACAGTTGTATAATGTTTATAATATGTTTTATAAAGCATGTGCATGACAAACAACACATTTCTAGATTGGCTGCTACAGAAAGTAGTTAATGTGTATGTTACTTGTTACTTTAAAGTTTTTTTTTAAATTATTTTAAGCAAACCCCTGGCAAGATGAATCATTTGTGCTCATGAGCCAGATTTTGCCCTCGTGCCGTGCTCTGGAGACCCCTGCCTCAAAGCCCTTTTCATTTTTACTGCATTCTAGGGTTTGGGTAAACACAAAGCAACTGGTATCTTTCAGGTTTAACCTCTACAATTGTGTAACATTTTGAAGCCAAACAACAATTTTGAAATCAGTGAGTTTGTATCGGGGTGATGTGGTGGTATTAAAATTTTAGCTAAATGGGGAAGAATGAAAACGACTGGAGTATTTTTATTCATTCCTAGAATAGGGTAATCAAACTTCTCATCCCCCATGAACATAATATTTAATCATAAAAATAAAGTCTGTCACCCAACAGTGAAGAAGCCTTGTGCTGCCATCTGTTGGCAAGATGCCCTCAGTATGGGTGTTGGTATATTTTATGTATTGGTATTAAAATCATATAATCTTTTAATTATTAATTCAGTAAATATATAAGGTTCAGCATGTGTGCATCATATATTTAAGGATTTTGAACTTTTTCCTTCCCTCCAATAGGATTTATGAATATTCAAACATTATGCCTTTAAATGAGGTATACTAATGTCATAACTGTGAAATATTAAGTATTCATAAGGTAGTACTGCCATCTAGAATCAAAAGGAAACACTAGAAACTCAAGATTACAGCTTTTGATTTAGAAAAATTAAAATTTTTAGGAGGTAAAAAATCCAAACTGCTGATATGTGTTAGATACTGTTGCCCTTTAAAGGGTCAAGAGATACAGCTTCTAGGGCTGTAAATTTTTGCTTACTGTATAATGTTGGATAAAAAAAGGCCATATTTCTAAAGAAATGTAATGCTATTTTTTATGAGCCTGTGCAGTCTCAATAGAAATCGGGAAAAAAATATACATAGCGAAAAGATAAATGCAGTACTCAAAAATGACCATTGAATTGCTAGGGTTGTGCCTGGTAATCCATCTTGGTGATGTCATGGGTTGCCACATCACTATTTTAAATAACATTATACACTTTACATGGGTTGCTGATAATCAGAACTGATGTTTATATAAAGGCCATGTAAAATTAATTTTAGGTAAAATGGTCAAAGCTTTTTTTTTCCCCTTTACAAAATATATGATAAATATGATTTTATTTTTTAGTTCAGCACGAATGCATTCCACAAGCTATACTTGGTATGGACATATTGTGCCAAGCAAAGTCAGGTATGGGGAAAACAGCTGTCTTTGTACTAGCAACACTGCAGCAGCTAGATCCTGTTGACAATCAGGTAAGTGAAGCATTTTGCATTATGTCATTTATGAGTACATAGCTGCCAGCTGTCCTGGTTTTTCAACACATCTTCCAGTCTTTTCTGGATCAGGGATTCTTAAACTTTTTTCATTCGCAACCCCTTTTTATCACTGAGATTTTTTCGTAACCCCCAGGACTCCATAACATTTAAAAAATTTGTGGGACCCCATAAGTACTACTCAAATCCAACACGTGCGAGGGTGATACTGTCAACTTCTTCACTTTTACTGTAATATGCTATTGCAGTTTCAGGTCGTTAACTTTTAATTTCTAATTTTAAGACAGAACAATGTGAAATTTTTAAATAAGTAACAGACAAAATGAGTGTCGCATGCAAAGCAAGGAAAATGAATGTTTTTATTATAAAAAGAATGCGTTAAAACTTTTTTTTTTTTCTTTTGTCTGTATTGTCTTATCTTTATCTGTTTTCAGATACATTGTGTCAAAATATTTATGTATTTATTATGAGTTAAAGAAATATCAAAACTGCTATAATTTTTGGCGACCTGCTGCAGATCCTATGGCCTCCAAGGGAGGCGCAACCCACAGTTTAAGGAACCCCACAGTAGATCATCGAATCTCCTGGCTTTCAGTTTTTTAACTTTTACTTAGAAAAATGTTTCTTCTCAACAAATGAAATTTATTTATTAATGAAACTTAAATTGCACTCCCAACCCCTAGTGCATTTCAGAAAATAATTTTTCCTATTAAATTTTATTTAATTTGATTATTTTTATGATCTTATTAAAATGTCATTTGATTTGAATTATCTTAATTCACTGTAGATATTTATATAACTTTATGTGAAAAATCAAGCTGTATTTGATCAGTTAATACTTGTAATTTATTTTACTTTAATTTATGGTACATTATAAAATTTATCTGCACAAATGCTATGTGTATTAATTTTATTTTTATTATTTTAAAAGCACTTTAATAAGTAAAATCTTTCCTTCCCTACTAAGGATTTTCTCACTATAAATGTAAATATAAAAATGTGAGAATTAAAACTGAAAATACTCAATGAACATAAATTTTATATCTAATTAAATATTAATGTATACAATCAGAATCATATTATTAATAGTTAATAACCTGAATAATGCATTTTATGAATTTCAGTAAATTCAAAATTCTTTTGAAATCACATCTTGAAAACTTCCGATATTCTCCCGATTTCCTGCAAAAAAATCATCTAATTTTTCATATTTCAAGGTTGGTATGTACAGTTATACCCACATGTCCACAGGGAGGAAGTCTTAAGAAGTTTCAAAATATATGCTAAGTGATAAACAGCCTATGGCAAGATTACACAAACACATATTTTAATGCTCTCACCAGTGACATTAAGTTGCAGCTTTTGCACTCAGATATTTATTACTTCTGTTACTTGACTAAAACAATCATATGTAATTTAATATTTGAATATGGCAGCTGTTTATCTTTTCTACTGTATGATGTATATTTTAATGTATTTTTAGGTATCTGTTCTTGTTATGTGCCATACGAGAGAACTGGCTTTCCAGATTTCTAAGGAATATGAGCGCTTCTCGAAATACATGCCTTCTATCAAAGTTGGTGTGTTTTTTGGAGGAATGACAATTACAAATGATGAAAAAGTATTGAAATCCAACTGCCCACATATTGTTGTTGGAACTCCAGGTCGAATATTAGCTTTGGTAAAGTCAAAGAAACTCAACTTGCGACATATCAAGCACTTTGTTTTAGATGAATGTGACAAAATGCTAGAGGCTTTGGGTAATTTTTGTTTTATTTTTACATAGTGTATTTTTCAGAATTATGTAATAAATGCATTTTTTTTTTTTTTTTTTTTTTTTTTTTCAAATATTTACTGTGAGTTTAAGTGCTGACTAACCCATACTTACTGTCTTCTAAGTTTTAAGAATTATTCATTCTAATGTACTTTGTACGTCATTGGCAGCATGTATATTGCAAAGCCTCAAGAGTAAAACATTGTTCATCCATAGAAAACTTTCTAAATATAACTAATGCCAAAATTGTACTTATAGTACTATGTTAGTATAGTTCGACCACCTCATCCGCGACCATGAGCGCAAACACGCATGCGCCATTCGATTCGTACTGAATTATTCTCAAAATAGGTTGGAAGGATTTCTTTTCCTCCAGCATAGTTCTTTCCGGAGAAAAGAAGACCTTTCACGTCGCAGCAAGTAATACCACCCTTTTGTTTTGGCAAAATGCCAACCAGGCTGACGCTTCAGACGGTCGAACTATAATGGCATTAATATGCTTTTTACATCTAACAACTGTCCAGTCTGACCAACTGTGCTCTTTGTCATCTTGTGTTTCATTGCTGTTATTTTCAGTTGGAATTGTTTCTTAAGAAACTTGTTGGAAATAGTATTCTCAGCCACTGCAAAATATCTGCTGAGAGTATATTATATGCAATATATATGTGTGTGTGTGTCTTCCTTTCATATTTTCGACTAAGCTTGGCATAGATATTGTATCTTCCATATTCAAAATTATTGAACTAATAACTCAACTAAAAGCTTAAAGCCTATCAATTTGAACCAGTAGCTTTCAGTTGTCAGATTGTTAAAAACTATGTGTAATACAGAACATTTAGCTGCTCATTTTAAAAGATTTTTGTGTGGATGGTAAATTAAACATTTATCCTTTAAGGTTCATTCAAAGGCATGTTTCAGTTAAGTGTCTCATTTATGACACTTTCCTCTTGCTCTCTTAATTTAGGGTCACAGGCTTTTCTTGTAAAAGTAGTCTTTTAATTCATTGGCTGTAAAACTTTCTCTGTAATCTGTAGCATTTTAGGTGTGTTAAAAGTTTCACTTGAAGTTAGAATTTCTTTATACTGTCTCTTCAGAATTTTTTTTAAGTGTGCTGATACTTAAAAATAGAAGTGAAAGCATTTTCTAAAATAAAGATTTGGCTTATCCAAATTAGCCCTCTGTGCAGTGGAAACTGCTGCCAATAAGTCTGCTAATGAAACTACAAAAATCAGAGGCATGCTGTCAGTATATTGATAAGATTAGGCTGGCTTATGATGCTTAAGTAGTTAAATATCATAAAAAGCTTTTTCCTAACAATTGAAAACAGTAAAGTAAGCATCAAAGTACCTGTTTTTAAAATCTTTTGTTCAAACATAGTTGGATATTTGTGTAAATCAAAAGAGCTGGGTTGCACTTATTGCATGTGAGAATAAGCTAACTAGTTTTCATCTATTCCTGTAGCTTATACACTGACTACCAATAAGTATTTGGACACCTATGCAAATGACGATATCTAAGGTACGTCACGGACTCCGCCGGTATATATCGTGTAGGAAACAGCATCAGCTTTACTCGCATGCAAGATGCCTCGCAGTTCGGAGCTCTCTGGTTTCGAGAAAGGTATAATTATCGGGTATCACAAATGTGGCCGATCCTTAAGGGATATATCTAGCGATCTGAAGTACCCAAAATCGACAGTGGCCTATGTGATTAAGAATTGGAAGGTGAGTGGTAATTGTTGGAATGTTCCATGAGTCGGCAGACTGACGAGTACTGTCCAGAGAAATTCGGAAGAACCGCACCCAACCAATGGCCCTCATCCGCGAGGAGTTTCAACAGGCATCTGGGAGTATTGTTTCAATGAATACCATCCGTAAGGAAGCACATCTGCTTGGTTTTCATGGTCATGCTGCTGCCCATAAGGCTTTGATCACAAAGTCCAACCGCGCTGCTCGGTTAATGTGGTGCAAAGCACATCGAAATTGGACCGTAGATCAGTGGAAACAGGTTCTTTGGAGTGACGAATCAAGGTTCACCCTTTACCGTTCGGATGGCAGGGTCTGGCGTCTACCTGGAAAACGTCTCCTGCCAGAATGCATTGTGCCAACAGTCAAGTTGGGCAGAGGTGGAATTATGGTCTGGCTGTGTTTCTCCTGGTATAGGCTAGGACCCTTGGTCTCCATTCATGGTAAGCTCAACTCTGATGCCTACTGCACTATTTTGGATGACAATGTGCTTCCTACGTTGTGGCAGTTTTACGGGTTGGACCCTGTTACTTTCAGGAGGACAATGCCAGCTGTCATGTTTCGATGTTAACTAAGGCTTAGTATGGTGCCAATGGAGTTCATCGAATGCACTGACCTGCCCAGAGTCCAGACCTGAACCCTATCGAGAACCTCTGGGACGAGTTGCATCGCCAAATTCAGGGGTGCACTACCCGTGCAAAATCGGTGAAGGAATTCCTATGTCTTCTCCAAGCCAAGTGGAAGAAAATACCACTAGCTGTCATACAAAGACTTTGGAAAGTATGCCCCGGAGGGTCCACGCTGTAATTACCTCTCGTGGAGGCTCTACCAACTATTGATTTTGAATAAAGTTAGTTTTTCTTTTCTATCACAGGTGTCCAAATACTTAATTGGTAGTCAGTGTATATGCATCTAACTTTGAGAAATTTTTAATTTTCTTGTGGTTCTTAGAGATCTTAAAGCTTTAAATTTTAGCATCTCATTCATGTTAAGGGAAAGTAAAATGTGGAGTTTATGCTATGGAAATGAATTTGTATGCATCCAAGTTTGCTACAAGAGATTGTCACAAATCATCTTTTGGAAAAATTCAGTTTGCCGATCAGTATTCCCTGTAACAAATGCCTTTGATTTCATCCTTTACCAGGTTTTATAATTTTGTGAATATAGTTGAGCATTATTATATTTGTTAATGCTGATATTAAAAGTATTCTCTTTTGTTAAGAATTGCAGCATGCCACTGACATATATATAATTGTTTGTAAAGTGGTTATCAGAAGAGTGCCTTTTTATTAACTCTGAATTACAAGCATGAAATTATTTGGTACTTTTTGATTATCTGCACTTGTACCTGAATGTTAGAGCTCCTTGCCAACTTTGGAAAGTCTTTGTGAACTGCTGGTGACAAATTTTTCACCAAGCTTAAAATGGTAGAGCTTTAAAAGTTTCATAAAAGAGCAGTCAGTCAATAAAATTTAAAAAGCAACAATTTCAATAACCAATCTACCTTTTTTTGAGAAATCGTGTTCTCACCATGTACATGGCGATTTGTTTTCACTGTTGGAAATTAAGAAATTCCAGAAGCCATCAATTAATGAAACGAATAGCTGTTAATGAGATAGAGCTATCTTCAAACCAATTTCCAACCTGTCTTCTAACTATGTCTTTACTAGTTATTTTTTCGTTCTCTATTATTCAGCAAAATGCAACTCTTCCTTTTTTGTCAGCCAGCAACAAAATATTCTAAGATTGCTATAAATCGACATCAATCAATTTTAAAAATGTAACTTTTAATATGTACAATATTTACAGATCATCAATCATTACATTCGGTGGTTTGGTATTCAAACAAATCTATATGCTTTCATAATCGAAATCTTTCAAATAAGAACCAAAGTGTTCCTAATCAAATAGTGTGCGAAGCATCAAACATTCATCTAACAAGCTGCCGATGGAGCGTCTATGGAAATTCAGAAGGCGCGCCACGTTAGCACGCAAAGCTATCGCCATCTATCAATTAATGAAAATAATTTCCACACAGGTTGTGTTCCTAAAGAGTGAATTGCACATAAATAACTGCAAGCATATATGGGTTGTCATATCACCATTTTGGCAATGCACTGCATTGCCTCATTAATATTTTTGTGACTTTTCGGTGGAGATATGTATAATAAGCAAGCTACAATTATTTTTCCTGGCCCTAAAAAAAAAAAAAAAAAAAAAAAAAAACTCTGAACTACTTGAGTACAGGATTCTTAAAATTTTGTAATATTCTGTGTATTTGGCAGTACTCTTACATGCATTGATATGTAAATGTGAGATTACAAAAGTTGTAGATTAAAAAAATAATAAGTGTGTGAAAAGTTAATGTGATGAATATGATTTATTTTAAGAATGTTGAAATGCAAAGAAGTTTATGAATTCATTTTGCTGTGTCTTTTTAGATATGCGTAGGGATGTGCAAGAAATATTCCGAAGTACTCCTCATGAGAAGCAAGTGATGATGTTCAGTGCCACTTTAAGCAAAGATATTCGACCCGTGTGCAAGAAATTCATGCAAGATGTAATAACCTTCAATGTTTCTTTAAACAAGTTGATATATTCATCTATTTTTTTCAACTTCTTTGTTATCAAGTTAAACTTTTCCCCTTGTGTCCTATTCAACAGAAGTTGTTTCCGATAGTTGAGTATCTAGATAATCATGTGATTTTAATTTTAAAAAAGCCCAGACTTGGTAAATAATTTTGATTGCTGTAAGTAGCGAGGAGGGTTAGTTGGCATGTTTTCTGCATTTGGGAAGATCATGTCTGTGGTGAAAATACAGTTGAATAACTGTTCGTTTTGAAGTTACACTTTGTAAAATTTACCCTGTTTTTTGGATATGTGAAGATTGGTTAGACCGTTGTTCAAAAGTGTTGTCTTATTGGGGATATGATGCTTCTGAGTGGGTTATAGTCCTGAGATTGCTCGTTTAATACGTTAGGATCTAGGCAGTTGCTAAGTTTTAGGTTGCAGTGTCCTGACAAATTTTGGAGTTGAGTGTTGATTAATTTGGAATTAGGTGGTTTTGTGGATAGTGTAATACGATATTTGGATGGAGTGATGTTGTTTGTAGGAGTGTAGTTTGTTGAAGCGAGAGGTTAGTTTGTAAACTGCGTTGGCATTTACTTGGAATTGAAACTTTGGTTTTGGTCATTAAGTATTTTTCTCTTAAATTTGTTTTGATCTTTAGAATGGAATGAACTAATCTAAAATCTCTATAAGAATGGTTAAAAATGAGCGTAGATAATTCAGATGAGGACATTGTTTATGCATTAATGTGGTAGAGTTACGAATTGATCTTTACTTTGCTTTTAATTGAAGTACTTTGACATGGCTCAGCAGTTTCATTTATCATTGTATATATTATTAAAGTACCTCTCTATGTTAAAAAAGACTGTGTTTGATTTCAAAAGATTAAAAAAGACTGTTTGATGCTGTCAAAATTTTATCAGCAAACTACTTACTAAATCAGTTATTCAAATCATATAGTAAATTTTATAAAAATATCTACTTATTAATTGTAATATCTTCCAGCTGTTGTGAATTTATGTACTTGTTCTAGAATATGAAACATTGCCTTTGAAATCTATACTGTGTGAAAGAAAAATGTTTATGCAAATTTTGAAATCGTAAGCACTGGAATATGGATACATTTTAGATCTGTAACTTTTGTTTTGTTGTAAACTCTGAAACAATTTTATATAACTTTTAAGCATAATAACTTGCATTAATCTTTACTAATTATGAAAATGTAATTACATCAGTAAGAAGAATCATCCAAGAATGTCATTTAAAGCTCAGAGTCTGGATGTTCCTTTTTAAGTCTCAACCTAATTTGTGCAATTGCTATGATTACTTATGAAAAAAATCTGCATATCTGAATTTTTCCACTGAATCATTTAATAGTAATTTTAAGAAGCGGGTTATTTCATCTATTTTAGATTAAATGGCTCTGAACGTTTTTTAAAAAAGCATGTTGAAAAAACTTAAAAATTAATAAGTTACTTAATATTAATTCAAAGAAAGTACACTGAATGATAAAAATACTAGTTATTTTAGAAACTAGTGAGTCTTTTATTTGACCCTCAAGAAGCTGGAAGGGTTACTTTAGGAATTGTAAATGTCAACATTCATTGTCTGTAATTGCTTACTACATTTATGGATTGGATGTTTCCCTTTGGAGCATTGCTGACAACTCAGTTACACCGAAACTAAAATTTGGATGATTATTTTGTGGATATGCATGGATAGTGGTGGCTAGTGAGACAGAGTATTATTCTTTTCGGAAATAAACTGTATTTCTGGATGTATGAAAAAGACACAAAAGGATGTAATTAACTTGTCATCATTTCTTCCCAACTGGTGGTGTTTGGATAGGAGCTGCCAAGTGCCTCAAATAAAACCAACTTTGAAGTCTAAAAACTTTATTAATTCCAGAAACAAATATTTTAAGATTTTTTGTTACATTTTAGGAACTGTAAAAAAAGGTGAATTTTTACATACTTGAAAAATAACACTAGTGCTAGTGTCATATTGTTCATATTTACATTTAATATATTATATCAGAAATTGCTTTTTTTATAGTTATAATTGTTTGAAGACAACTTATTAATAATTTAAAACATTTAATAAATTTGAGACAATCGGCAATTTCAGGATATCAGTAGAAGCCCTATCGTCCTTATCCTGCTACAGTAGTAATAGGGGTTTTATGATAACCGAACACATTTCTGCTTTGTTGATGTCCAGTTCCTATGCTCACAATAACGTGACAGATGCAGTACTATGCAGCCATTGTCATAATTTTTTTTAAGCCAAATGCACATTAGATTTGCAGAGTCATCTCCTTGTTGACATTCTTGGGATTTTGAACTTTTTCTAAATGTAATATGAGCTGCTGCTTGATTTCAACTTGATTGCAGTAACAATCAGTAGAATTGTTTAAATTTTGTGATTTTTAGCTGAATGTTAGTCCGTACATCCCTTTATTGTGTAATCTAGTAAACACTTGATGGAGTTGTCCTTAAAGGCCATATGGTTAATCCTGCCACATTTGTAGAAAAACTCATACTTCTTTCATCGTCAAAAACCTATGGCCGAAGATGGAGAGCACCATTTTCTCACTTGTTGTTGTATATTGTGTATGCTTAGGGAAACTGAGTGTTTACCTGTTTATAGTTTGCATAACTGGCAATACACTCATATTTTATTTATAATGTTAAGTACACTCATAAAGTTCCCATTATAATAGTGTACATTGTCAATAATACATTATCATTCAGTGTACTTAAAATTGAATATTTGTCTTGGAAGACTTATAAGTGAATTACACGTTTTGGACATTTAACCTTTTAATGCATAATAACTTCAGCATTATTTGTTCCAGTTTAAACAGCACTGTAGAAAGCTTGTTTGTGTTGTTCAGTTTGTATGTAATAACCCAATTTTAAAGATTAAATCTTAAAAGGCAAAAAGTGTATCCTGTTCCTGTGTGTTCTACATTTGCTGTTAAAACGTACAGAATAGAAGCTTTTCTTTAGTAAAATTCTTAAAATCATGTAATGCAAAAATTTTGTAATAATGATTAATTATTGAGATTCTAAAGTATTGTAGCACAAAAATAATAAAAAAAAACATGTATATTAGGAGTTAACTATATTTGCACCACTTTTTGTTAGTAAATCGTATATGATTTGCATTCGCAGCATTCTTTTAGGACTATGTCTTGGAATTACCGAAAAAGCAGTATTTTATTTATTTATTAAATTATTGCTTGTGAAAATACAATTCTCAAAATTTTTTACGGTGTGTATTATAGATTTGTATTTTTTAGAAGGGTCTAAAGATTTGATTGTTTAGTACAGTAGAGGTGTAATATTTAAACAATTTTATGTAGTTTGATAAAAAATGATTTTTATTAAGCTTGCTATCTGCATTTTTTATACCTAGTGGTATCTTGGTTTAATATCATCATTAAAATAGCATTGCCATGTTTCTATATGTGCAGTAATTGCAGCATTAATTCCGTCTCCTCCCCTTTTTTTTAAATGAAAAAAACTAAAAAAAATATATTGACAAGAATGAAAATGACATTTCATGCATAAGTTAAATCTATGAAGACTTAACAGAGTAAAATATATAAGGTTAAAGCCCCATGTAATATAACAGTACTTTCCCAGCAAGTTGTTTGGTGTAGTGATAAAATAATGCCTTTAGGTGGCCAAAAGTTACTGGACACTCACCGTTTTAAATTGGAACTACTTTTTTTTTTTTTTTTTTTTTTTTTTTTTTTTTTTTTGTTTTTGTTGATGTAGGCTCACTACTAGTAATTGATTGATTTAGTTCAGCTGTGGAAAATAGTATGGTGAACTACGACAAGTGGTAGTTGTTTAGATATAGCTAGAACAGAATTAACACTGTGCACATGGTAGAATGCTTGATCCTGAAGGTATTCGAGTTTAGGGCGGCCAATTCTTCAAAACCTGTATAATTTTGTTAATTTATTGTGTTGATATAAAAAAAGGACCTGTTTTAAAATATTGTACAGTATGGGAAGTGTTTTATTATCCAAAATATCTAATACAAGAATTCCATGGACAAGAAATAGAAAATCAAGAGAGTCCTGTACGAAATGTACTACAGACTGTAAGTTTCACTGTCTGCACTGCAAGCTTCCACACACGTATGTTGAAATGATTGTGATCTCTGCAGAACCATTTATCTGCAGCTGTTTTACAATATTTATGCTATTTAAAATCCTTTAAGCATTGGCAAGCATCAGAGTAGCAACATGACAGGAGAAAATAAGTATTGTCATCTCCAGGTTACAGTACCAGTAACTGATATTAATTTTGTATAGAGGTATGAGATTTAGACATATGTGCTTCTGAATTTGTAGACATGCTAGTTTTTTTTTTTTTTTTTTTGTGGCATTTGTGTTTTGCAAGACTATTTGTTACAATATATGGTGGGCACATTTAAGACAACCAGTGGCTTTGAATAGTTGAACCTACGAAATACTTTTCATCCCAGGTCCTATTCCTGGCAGTTAAACAAACTCGCCACATGTTTGCATATGTGTGCTGTTGTAAATATGTATCCATTGTGAAGTGTGTATGTAAAACGCTCTCTGCATTAGATCTGAGCTATTTTTCGTAAAAAAGTACATAGAGCCATCCCTCCTCATGAGCTGTTGGTCATATTATCTGTTGTATGGTTATTGCATAGCATAGCATAGGAAAGATTTATGGTGTTGATTTCTTCATCTAGAGCTAACATTAAGTGACATTTGGCCACACAATATAGTTTTGTATTCGTTATATAACATAATAATTTATGTTCAGTGACTATTTTAAAAAATTATTTTACTACCAAATGCTAAATAACTGGTGCTCTTGCATCGTAATGCCATTTTGCATACATTTAATGTCTCGAAATTAGCACATTTTAATCAAGTGAGTTTGAATTACTCTTTTATAATTTCATATTTGGATTTTATAAAGTATCTTTCTTTCAAACTTA